TTCTTCTTTGGTCCATTTTATATTTTATATATATATATATATATATATATATATATATATATATCACATGAAATTTTATAATTTTTTAAGAATAATCCATGAGGAAATGGAATCGTCTTGGCAAAGAACCCTTTTCAAAGTTTCAATCAATCATGCTTTATTATTATTTGATATTATTGATATTATTATTTAATAATCATTTTGGTTATAGTTGCAGACGCCGAGAGGTATACGAGAAATGGAATCAAAGCATATCTCTTTTGTCGGCAAATTATAAAAAGGAAAAGAATTATCGGACATTTCCATATATTACACAACAAAACGGATAATATTTCAAATATATCCGTAAATGTCAAGTGGGAGAGGATGCCAGTTTTGAAAACCCCTATTAAAATGATATCTATATATATAATAATTTTGTCCACAATTTTTAATGTATATATTTTGGAAATTGGAATTACGTCATAGAACATTGAGACGTCGAGTCAAGAGTCGCACCATGTGCCCACCAGTCCACCACCGAGACCACCCACGACTAATGACCAACCATGTCCTCAATAAAAAATTATTATTATTATTATTATTATTATTATTATTATTATTATTATTAACTCCACCCATCTCGTATATGACAGTACAGATATTTATGTAGTCGTATTTATATTATTTGTATGTATATGAAAATCAATATCTAATTTAAATATATATCACTTGTAGAATGTGTATTTTGAATATTTAATTTTTTTAATGATGAGATGAAATCTTTAAATTTGGAAAACCTAATATGAAATTTTTATACGAAAAAGACATTCGAATGAGAGAAAAAAAAATCTCTTATTTTCGATCATTCATTTTTTAATTATTTTAATCTACTAAATATATTAATCTAATCAAAGTATGAACTCTACAACAATTACAAAATTTCCGGTTACAAATTATTGGAAGAGCATATGATACTTTGGATTATTGTTTAGGTTATTGTGTGTGTGTGTGTATAATTACTTGGGTGCGTATAGATATAATATGTAAGAATTTGAAAGTGATCCATTGTGAATAATGGGATTTTGGAAAAAATAATGATTATTTTTGTATATAATTTCTCTATATATAAATTTATAAATAATGATTATTTTGTAAATGTTCATTTAATGAATAAATTTGGTTCGACAGAAAAATGAATAAATTTTTATTATTTTCAATTTTCACGATTTTTTTAATTCAATATACCATAAACAATCTGAATCAGAATCCAACGTCCAAATAATTTCCCTCTCGATAAATCTATTTTAAGCCAAATATTCTCCGAATACTCGATTTTTGTATATCCCGAATTCAGATATTTATTTTTATAAACCGTTGCATATTGACAAATATTCTATTACTACGTGCAGTCGTTGGCATTTTAAAAAGGAAATATTCCTTTATTCCATCCGCCCAAACCTTTGCACTTGGAAAGATCCTTAGTATAATCTATAAATTAAAGACATAAAATCATATTTAATCACATTGTTTCACATTATAAAAAATGTTAAACCCTTAAAATAAAATTAAAAAAAAAAAACTTAAATCATTTTTTTACTTGTCTTGGTGTTAATAAAGATTAGGTGCGATTAGGTTGGAGATAGTGTTCCCAACTTTATCGATTTTATCTGCTCCAAACGAGGATTTAAAAATACTGTATTATTTTATTACACGGAAATATCAATTTTTAAAATTTAACTAATATATAAATTACTATTATTTTAATTTACCACGAGATTATTCTAAGTATATTTTATTACCTCAAACATATATTTCGATTAAAAAATATTTAGAATTCAAACAAAGTGTTCGTTGCTATAAAAAAAAAGAAAAAAAATGTTACACACATATAATGAGGAAATTAAATTAGAAAATTTAAACCCAATTAGGTGGTGTAATTAACACTGGTACTATAGTACATTATTATTTTTGTAATTAATTTAATACTCCATCCCTTTATTTTCACTTATAGTTGATTTAGTCAATTTTGCTTTAGCCAAAGTGCTCACGATTAAGACTCGAGAGTTTTCCTCTGCTTTTTTTTTGGCTGTTGTTAGTTATTTTGTGAAGTGAGCTATTTTTATTACATGTTTTAATATAATGTGATTATTTTGTTTGGATAATCTATTGATAACACAAGTATAGACGTATTTGAATTAATATAAAAGCAACAAAGTTAATTACACATGACATCGTAAGATATAACGTTTTCGATTAAACCCGTATTAAAACCAGATTCAATTATATATCCGAACCCACGTGTCAATAATTTTCGCAACATGATCTGAATATTTGTTTTTTAAATCGAATTCAATGATAAAACATAAATCTAACTGAAATCTACTCCAAAATCGAAACTATATTCAAAACTTGAAAATAAAAATTTTCAAATTCGAATTCTTGCTCGAAAGTTGTAACCCCAAGTTATTAACTTCCCAACCAAATTCGAATTTTGAAAAATCGAAACTCTGCCAACTATAACATAGCCCCTATTATTTTTGAAACCTCAAACAGTCAAATCATAATAGAAACCCTAATTTGGTGGCTGGTACAAAGCGATCATACACGTACACAAATACAAAGTTTTTTTTTATAATCGGGTGATCCCAAGCCAAAGACCCATACTAATTCCGACCCACGCGTACGACCCTACAACATACACGTGGGATGTGAAACACCCGAAGGTGGAAGGAGGGGAATCTCCATACTCTGGATGTTGAACCCACGACCTCGTTGGCTCGTTTACAGGAAGAGGCTCTCAAACCAATAGAGCTGGAGATTCCCCGCAAATACAAAGTTACAATTCTATTCCTATCATCATTGAACAACTTGTTTTGTTTTTTTTATAATAAGTAGTGATATATGGAGAAAAATAATAGATATGATTAGATACATTTATGTGGCAAATAAAGATGCATTATATCGTGGAAATATATAGAGAAATGTCCTCTCTCTTTCCATTCCTTTATTTTCTTTCTATTTTTTTATTCTTTCTAAAAGATATCTCATTTGCTTTATGTCTTACATCACATTAATCGATGGTGTAGCTCATTAAATTAATTACTAGTTCTGCAATAAACTATAAAATATTTAGTATAATATAATGTGAAATGATTTTAAAACACTTCTTTTTCGTTCATGTTTTCACTAACTACCCCTTTTAATACACATATTATAATAAAATGGATCTGGATTTACTATATAATGTGTAGAAATAATGTTTAACAACAACAAATCTCAATTACTTCATTGTCGGTTTCCCACATACACGTTGCGCCACCAAAGGAACAGGGGAGTAATATAATTAGAATAATAATTGTGGTGAAACCGAATTATAAGGTTAGTATAAAAAAATCTAATTAAACTTTTAGATATTTGATCTGATCAATAATTCGTAATATATTTAGGTTTTGAATATTATTTCACATAATAATAGTAAATAAATACATAAATAAATGTCACTCATTCATTTGAAAACTTTTCTTTTGCTTAGTGGATAGGGAGAGAGATATGATGAATGACTTGGGGACTAGGATCATCAATTTTCACTCCCAAAACATAAAATAAATAAATGAATAAATGTTCACTCTCATGTCTTATTCTTAAATTGGTAAATGATACTCAGATTTCAATATATCAAATAAATATAAACGGTTAAAATAATTCAGAAATACAAATACATGATACAAAATATTTGCATTTATTTCCATTTTTATTCAACTTATATAATACAAAAGATTTTTAGTAAAACACATAGGCACAAAAGTTAAAATTAACGAGTAATGACAAAAAAAAACATGTTTGTTAATTACATCACCCCTTATTTTGCTTTCGGACAAAACGTGCGGTGCAGACGAAAACAAAAATTCGCAAAAAAGGTTTTTGTCTAACTCAGACGAAATATCGTAAATCAAATCTAATTGATCTACATGCCACTCATCATCATCATCATCATCATTCTAACACGACCATCACAATCACTATCATGATCATGCTCATGGCCATGGTCATCATCCTATATCACGAGCCTAATAATTCTCATGACCCATGTACTCATCCCAATAACACTCGATATCTTCAAAAGCTCCTTTCGAGCATGAGTCCCTTTCGTGTACCATCATGATGTCGGTTTCATACGGTCCATCATCCAGAAGAATCTTCGTTAACTCGCCCATTAGACCGTTCTTCTCAACATTAGGACTCCCTATGAAATCTTCTTCGTTAGATATACTGTCCAGAAACCTGTTGAACTCCATTTCACTGTACTCATTCCCACTCGAAAGGTTATCGTCCATCGGGGTAGCGAGACAATACGCTAACGGATCATTGACGCCGTTAATGGAAGCAGAAGAATCTGAGAACGTGGATCCCGACATGGATGTGGACGAGGGATGACATTCTTGAGGATTAAAGTGGTTGTAATCCTCGTCGAAGATAGATTGGAGTTTGTCTGGATTGATCTTGTTGAGAAGATTCGAAGTTGATGTAGAAGAGCTCGTTGATCTTTCACTTCCTGAGTCTATGGAATTATTACCGTTAATAGCGTTACTGTTGCTGCTTCGTGGGCCACCACATTCGATGATTTCGGACAAAACACTTTGGTTCACTCTTCGAGCGAACTTGTTGGCAACTTTGTTAAGAACCTTGGCCGAGAGCGACAGCGCCGGTTTCGGATGTTCGAGATCATGCTCTTGACGTTTCTCGGAACCATCTCTCTCGGTTTTCCGGTCGGATTCGCTGTCTGATTTCCCCGATATCGGCTTGTGGGTTGCGGGGTCGATCCCCTTTTTGATCAGACGTTTCTTTATATGCGTGTTCCAGTGGTTTTTGATCTCGTTATCCGTTCTCCCAGGCAATCTCCGGGCTATAGCCGACCATCTGAAAACAAAGCATTATCGCACGGAACAATGTTAATACATTTTCACCGACAGATATGTACGATGTTTGTAACAAGTTGTTGACTAATACTTAAGTCTATAACCAAATTAAATTGGACCGTCGCATATTATAATAAACCCTTACTTGTTTCCATGAGTGGCATGAAGGGTGATGATGGTCTCTTCGTCTTCTTGGCTAAACTCTCCTCGTTTGATATCGGGTCTAAGATAATTCGCCCATCTGAGCCTGCAGCTCTTTCCACACCTCTTGAGACCTATAAATAAATAAATAAATAAATAAATAAATAAATCCAAATTCATATATAAATTACTATTAACATTGAATTTTCAAAAGAAAAAAAAACAAAAATAATAAAAATAAATACCAGCTTTTTCGGGGAGGGTTCTCCAGCCACCTTCGCCGTGTTCGTTGACGTAAGCGACGAGCCTCTGATCCTCTTCGGGAGTCCACGCCCCTTTCTTCAGCCCTTCCGCTTTGCAACACGGAGTTCTCACCATTTCTCTTTCTTTTAATTTCGACGAATTCTTTCTCTCTCTCTTTCGATTCTTCGATCGATCGATGATACCCGTCCAAGAACGGATCTTTCCTCTGTTTTGGTCTGTAGTGATCGATGTTCTTGAAGATATTCGCGGTTTCAAGAACGGGTTCGAGCCAAATAACCAAAGAAAACGACTCGAAGATCAAACCGGAGGGAAAACCGAAATTATTAGGGTTTGAGTTCACAAAAACCGGATCGATCTTCTTATGAGTACTAATAGACACCGGAAAATACGCCTTACTGACATTTCATTTGCATGAAAAATGATCAAAGGACGAGATGAGAGAATTGTGGACAAAGGAAGAGGGGAGAGAGCCTTGAAAGAGTTCGAGAGTCGTTCGCCGTGCACAGAGTGAAGGGGGGGAGGCTTTATTTATGTGTGGAATTCGGCCGACGATGTCGTTTTAAGCGGCTGACACGTGGATAGATTTGATTGGTTGCTATATACTCTTAATTAGATTTTGTAAGTGGAGAGGTGGCGTCCGTGAACGTTCGTCACCCTTTCCGAGTAATAGTAATTAATTATTTTTTATTCTGAAGACTATAATTTATTTTAAGACTCTCCTTTGTTATTCTCTTTATTTTATGACTTTTTGTTCGTGTTATTTTCAGTTTTAAAAAATTCGGTATTTGTTAAACTTTTGTATATAAAACTCTTTTCGCATGTGGCTGCTATTTTATAAAATAAACTATAGATTTTAGTTCTTTGGGGCACCCATGAAATAAATCATTTAGTATTGCAAATTTGTTATCATATCCAAACATTTTTTTATCATGAACAATTTCGGGACTTATCTTTCCTTAACCAATCTTTCCTAATAATTTTTAGGAATATTTATTTTTTATGCCACTTATATATATTCTTTTGCTAACAAAAGATCTCCTACAAACTTATCACTATATATACAAATAGCTAAAATTTATTGAACTTATAAAAAAAATCTATTCATAGTTACCATCTAATAATAATAATAATAATAATAATAATAATAATAATAATAATAATAATAGTTGCGCTTCTTTGATTCTTCAACATGACCCGAATAAGTGATAGTATCTAATTTTTTTTTCCAACTTTATTACGTAATATCCAATGAATCGGGGCGCGAAGTAAATTATAAAATATTATTGTTGAATTTATTATGTTCGGTCTTGAAATGTCTAATTTGATTTGGATAATAAATGGCGGTCTACATGGTACATAATACAATAAATTCATTTTGCAACGGCGTCAACTTTGTCAAACTTAGAAGTGGAAAATATTTACATCAGAAAATGAAAAACAAAACACGAAATAATGAATTATAAAAGCATTAATTATTCGTGTCTTGTATCGGCATTATTCAACAGTAAAAGTTGGAGTGCGAGACTTTTCAAAAAAAAAATATTATAAAGGCATCAGATTACAAATATAAATAAAAATAATTATAATAATGTTTTATTTTTGTCTCTGCATGTAACTGAAATAGTGGCGGAGAAAATTCGAGGAAAGAGTAGTAATTTGTAGTCTAAAAAAATATCGAAGAATTTGCTTTTTAAGTAGAGAGATAATAATTTATGGACCAACTTGGTCGTTCAAACACTGGACTTGGACACTTAAAAAAATTTTAAACACTTTCGTTCAGACAAAGTGTACCAAGGCTGATATGTCTGTAAGCTGATTAATTATCATCACATATATATATATATATATATATTTCAATGATTTGTTTGGAAAATATCGAGCAGGAGAAATTAGAAGAAAAAAAAAGTTTGGATGATATTTTGTAGCAAAAAGTTAAAAAAAAAAAGGGGATGAAATTGTGAGTCATCCCAAGATTTTGGACCTCTAAAAGGGAAAAAAAATCCTAATTTGATTTTTTAAAAAAATTGTAAACAAACACTCTGCATATTTTTCGAGACCCGATTGTTAAACTTTTCATTTTAATACAAAATTATTTATATTCTATATTTCTTATCACTTTTACATTCTGTCTAATAATACTATTTAATATTAATCAAATTAGGATTTATTTTTTGTTATTTGTGTATTAGAAAAATTATCCGCATTTGCTCAAATGGTTGACGAGATAAAATATCTATATAAAAAGTCTTACATCAATCTTTTGATAAAATGGTGCAAGATAAAAAAAAAATTCTATAATAATTAGATTTTAGCTTTGTTTTTCATATTCAAAAGACATACGAATCTCATCTAGTATCTAAGTCTCTGTGTTTCTGTACAAATGTTCTTTAGGCATTGTTATAAAAAATATATATAATATACCATTTTCTCTATTTAACTTTAAAATTTATGGGAAAACAAAATAAACAAAAGATTATCAATATTTATTTGCCCTACTTTGTAATTTAAAAAGAGTTTTTTTATTGTTACGATAACAACTTTTAAATATATATGTATATATATAGTCGTTTTAAATTTGGCTTTTTACCATTTTATTTGGGTTTAGTTCTTTCATTTTAAAAAGTATGTAGTCATTTTTGTAATTTAGAAACTTAAAAGATTTTAATTTTCAAATAAATTTTCTAGAAATTTATTTTGATCATATCTATTATTAGATTAATTAGCTAATTAATTCTTCCTAAAAAATCTGTTATTTGAGTGGATTTCTTTTAGATCATGTACGTATATGTGCATGGTGTTGCTTGCCATACATTAGGGCTTCATCTTTTAGCACATCCGAATGAAAAAAAAAATGCTCATTTGATAATCCATCACGTGGAAAAAAAAATCTGTATTGATCCGATTTTGAGAAAGCTTGACCAGAAAATTTGAAGTTTGAAACATTCTAATGGTTGGATTTTTGAGATTATATATGATCGCCATCTGTCCGTTTATATATAAGAGTAAAAATTCTATTTTTAAATTAGTTTTTTTTTATGTAATTAATTTTTGTTTGTCAATGTGTATTCTTTCGTTCTCTATCCATACGGATAAATCAACAAATTCATACAAACGATCCATTACCAATACAAGATGAGACTAAACCATTTTTCCGTAAACCAAAATTAAACTCTTACAAGATTTACATAATAGATACATATATATATATATATATATATATATATATGTATATATGTTTGTGTGAAATTCTTGAATTGTGCATATTAAAACATCATCCTTGCGTAGACGGTAAGAATGGGTTGATTCCGATACTTGTTTGGGATTGACCGTTACTGAAATCTTAATTGGAAAGCTTTTATTTTTCCCTTTTTAATATGTACGTTCCAAATGTATGAAGCAGTGGAGTTATATATGTAAAAATATATATATATATATATATATATATATATATATCATTCAATGAATGTTATTCCAATGATCAAGTCAATGAAACCTAAAATAATCGTCGCGGCGAACGTGTGTATACGACATGAACCAACAATCTAACGTAACATGCGATCTTGTTTGTAAATTCATGAAAAAATGATAAAGAAAACTGATAAAAATACTTATTAGCTTCTAAATTTGCAGAATAGTATCAGTACTCTTAATTTTTTTTTTAATATTTAGACCTAAATTAATAGATTCAGACCAAAACCGATCGAATTAATGTTTTTTAGTTCTTAATCGAACTCGTAATTGGCCAAATAAATGAAAAAAAAACTTATAACGCTGATAAAATTTTAAAAATAATTTACTTCAAATAGAAAAAACACAGAAATTATATTTATCAGAAATTTACATATTATGGTATTTTCTAATAAATTTGTCTTTCGTATTAAAAGTTTTATTAAAAAACCACAATGCTTAATTAAATTCAATCAATTACCAATAAAAATAACATTAATTATATCTAATACTATATGTAAAAATAGTGTTCATTTGTTGAATTGCTTCTTATCTATACAAATGTTTCGTAAGGCAAAAAGTTAAAACCTCGTCCACTCTCGGATCTGCACATAAATACCCACCAAACTTTTGACGAGAAAACTCGGGAATTTTATATATTTATTTATATATATTCTATTCAGTCAAATGATTCATATGATTATAGTGATGCCGATTCCGACCGTTGGACTCGAACCTTTCAAACGAAAAATTAAAAAAAAAATGTCAAGAAGAAAAAATAAAAACTCAAATTCTTTGATCTTATGGATATGTAACTACAAGCCATAATTCAAGATTCTCTTCCGTGTAAATGAATTGGTTGATTAGAAATAGTTGTCCGTTTTTTGTTAGAAATCTGTTTTATTTTTATATACAGTTTTTTTTTTTTATTTCGGTCCATGTTTTATTGTAGTTTGGCTTTCATTTAAAAAGAAATTTCGGTTCAAATCAATTATTTTTTTTTAAAAAAAAGGATAACACTCGATCTAGTTTTAAATCAAAATAGACTCAAATACCATTATATATTATTTGTATTTGATTCGTTCCATTTGATAATTCAAATGACTACCCCTTCTTCGAAAAAATAACACAGTCAAATTATTGACTTTGCAAGATAACAATTTGTTTTTTAAATGTGCAAGAAAACATTTTATTTCATTTTATTTCATGCAGTCAATGAGTCACATTCAACAATTTTGAACTTCATGGGATCGATGCAGACACCATGCCGTCAGCATTACTACACACGCACAAAGGGTTTGCAATTTTTTGGAAAATAAAATATGTTTTGCCAATTGACTAAAGCTTAATTATTTTGCCAATTTCTGAAAAAATTAATCTCCCTGTATAGGTAAAATTTTGTATATTTAGGATGACCAATAGTTTCTGCAGTTTAGAACTGTTATGTGGTGATTCCACTGACGTATGTCATATGCCTGTTCTCCAAACACTTGCATCCACATCCTTGTTTATCAATAAGATCTGGCCATACATACATACATACATACATACATACATATACATACATACATACGTGTGTGTGTAACCATAATCTATTGGCATTGATGTATCATTCCTAAGAAACTAATTCTATACAGCAACGCATGAATTGCATTACAAATTCCCAAACCCCATAAAACAGGGGGGGGGGGGAGGCGAACCATACAATTCCACTAAATGGGATACAAATCAAGTTTTCCCATTTTCAATTTCATACACAAAAGAATCACTTGTGTTGGTTCTTGTCTGAATTCATCCCGGCGTTATCGGCCGTAGCAGCTGTGGCCGCTAACTCCATTAACCGCTCGTAATCAATCTCTGTACACTTGAACTTCATCCTCATTCCGGATTCAGTCCATGATCTGATGCAAAGAACCGGTTCCATGCTACCGAGGGGCATGCAATACCGTTGCTTGTCGACCTCCTCACCTTTCCCACAGAATATATCTTCAGGTGCGGTGGAAGTACCCTGAACCACGAGGAAATCCCGGGCCATGACGGATAGTCGCGGGTATCGGGTACTATTCACCTTCCACCAGTCCAAAACATCGGTCTGCATAGGAACTATAGACTCGGATAAGTACTGGGTCAGTTCATCGACGACGTTGTTACTCATGTTTGCTCTTCTTTTCCTCCGAGCAATTTCCTCCGCAAAGGAAATGTTTCCTCCTCCTCTGCTTCCACTTCCATCATCTATTTCCTGGGCACGGTACCCACTTGTCATGCCCGATGTGAAATGAGTCGAAGCATAGTTACGGATGAAATGGGTTCTGGCTTCCTCCAAAAAGTTGTCAAGATTTATCGTCTCGGGAATGTACTCTGTTTTTATCCGGGGGTCGATAATTGCTGTGATGTAAGTGAATACGTTGCAGATTTGAGTGTTGTACGTTCTGGCCTTCTTGGCCATGTTTTCTGCAGAAGCTCTCAGCCAGTCCGGGTTGTGACACGATTTCTGGCACGCGGTGATCATCTCGGAAATGTTATCCATGAAGAGGAGAACCAGACCGACGGTGAGATCCTTGTTCGTGCACATATCACTTGTGGTTTTGTAGAATGAATCCATATCCAAGTATTTGTGCACGATCATTACCGCATTCTTCTCCGCAGAACTTAGCAGAATTCTGTTTTCCAGACCATCCTCGTTTTTCCGAATCACAGAATCCAAAGATTTACCAGCCTGCACCAACATTAAGATGACCCAGACTAGATTACCAGTCGATTAAACATTTTCCAATTACTTGTGCTGTGGATTGAAGATTCCTTCGTGTCAAATAGTCATCAAATGGCAGCAAGAATGTAAGATGGACGCATATTATTCAATAAAAGTCACAAATTTCGATGGCTTAAGGTCGAGTAATCTAACGTTACCTTGCACAAAACGTTGACCATCTGGTAATTGCCACTCCAACGAGCTGAAGCATCCATTGGAATTTTCCAGTTGCCTTCTTGATATGCAGTTGTCAAGTGAATGAAATCTTCCGATATCTCCATTGATGCGTTTAACTCTAGAACGAATTCTCTAATCTTTGAGATTATGGGCTTTATGGTCACCAATCCCTCGTCTATGATATCATTCAAAGTCCGAGCAGCACAAGGAATGTAGCAGAAAGGCATGATCTTCTGATCATCCAAGTACTCTTTCAGGCTATGACAAGCATGAATTGCATTTTGGCTGTTGTCATGTGTACAACAGAGAACTCTATCTTCGATTCCGAAGATTTTGAGGACCTTCAGGAGGGAGTTATGAATCTCGGACCCTCCGGAAGGATAAGGAATCCGACATATGTCGAGCAGAAGTCGCTGAAAGGACCAGTTTTCATCTATCCAATGCCCCGTCACGCTCAGATAGAAGATGTTTTCATATGAAGTCCAAAAATTGAGGGTGATCGATACCTTGGACGAGACATGCTCCAGAGATGCCTTTACATCTTCTTGCATGCTTCTGTAAACCTCATGAAGTACCGCTCTATATTTTTCAGATGGCCATAGTTGAGCGACCGGGTTTAGAAACTTGAAGGAGTTTGCCAACCATTTTTCTTCTACAGTGGAGGGAGGAAGAGATGAAAAAGTAAGCCACCTCAGAACCAACCAGTTAAGATGATCATAATCAACTTGAGGTGCTTTCAGTTGGGTTAGCGGCTTTTTTGTTAAAACTGGCATCTGTGGTACCGGACTGGAGACAGCATCTGTGGTCTTATCATAACCTGGATGTCTGTTACTCAGATGTCTTCCAAGATTTCCTTTGAGAAAGAAAAAAAACATAACATAAGCAAAATGGTTTCTAGTTATCAGCCAGAACATAAAATCCCCACAAAAAGCAAAACAAGAATAAAAATTATGACAGCAAAATGGGTAATTGCAAAGCCATGGCAATTCATAAATCACTTTGCCATTTAGATATCCGACTGGGAGTGGACATTATTTGGATAATGGAGGATGACAAATCATAAATAAGCTATTCGGAGAAGATAAAAGAAGTGAATAGAAGAGCATACATACCAGTCGCTGTTGCTATGGAATAGCTCTGCCCGCAGAATTTGCACTTCCGAGTTTTCCCATCAAGGGCAGTCTCAAAATATTTAAGATAGACTGATGTCATCGTCTTCTTCCGTTTTGCAGGAACAGTACTTGCCTTCTCGGAAGAGCCGAGCCCAATGTCAACAGCATCAGTGTGCGGAACAAGACCCATATCCATCATGGACTTTGGTTCCCCTTCTAAACCAGCAGCGGAAGAAGAGATACATAAATTCACATGTCATCGTAGTATCAATACGCAACCAAAACATGCATTTTAGGGTAACCACGGCTCGGCCTAGGCAATTAGGAATGTAAAGAAAAAAGTGTGTATGTCACTGCCATAAGCCTGAATTTCAATATTCTTGTTACACATTTTTCCTCCCGAGGTTCCTCTCATTGTGTCAGCCAAGAAATGCAATCCGTTTCCATCAGAAATGAAGAAGTTAATCAGTGAAATATACTCTATTAACTGGTAGTACAAGAGTTAACATTTTAGTAAAGCATTAGACTTTCTTCTCCAAGTAGAGAGCAACTAATAGTAAAATATCGAATCTTTAGAGCAGCAAATCATTGCCGTGTAAAAAACCATTTCCTTTACAGTAGCTTAGTCTCTACACTATCAATCGTGGAAGGTTGCATGTAGCAGCAAAATCAACAAGAAGTTTTGCTGCATTCGAAACATACCTTTGTAGGTTTTGAAAGCATTGTTTACACTCCACTCCATCTGATTCTAAGCTTTTCCACTTGAAGTTCCTGTCTGAAATTCCGTAAGTGAAGCCCTGACAAAACGAAATGAATCAAGAAGGCCATTGAACAAATCTGTTTTCGTTAGTTAACAAAAAAGAAACCTCAGAATGCAGACAATCTTCCATCAGAAATCAATAGGAGGGCCCTTTCTTTTAGGTACAATGGAATATAGAGCGACCAAAACATCCTAAACATCTTCATTTAAAAGAACGGCCAAAAACATGGGGAAACGAATACTATAGTGGGGAATGATATTTCTCATTATCTTCCAAGTGTAGAGATTGCAAAATATATACACGTAGGGTTGCTATGATTTAGCTACAATCAAGGTAACTAATGAACATAAAATCAGGAAGTGATACGATAGAATATTTACAATAGTATATCTTTCCATTACTTGACACTATGCATTTCACTCATTCAGTTCTCAGAACTAAATTTGATCACAAACTCGAACGATTTCTGAAGTTTCAGGACACGCAAATAAGAAACAGATACACTTTGTATCATTTTCCTTAAAGAATAGCTACCCATCTTCCATTAAAAGAGTCCATCTCATCAGACCTCATCAGGGACTGAACCGTAAGCAGACAGATACTTACCGAGGAAATGAACCAAATCGACCACCAACTCCACGAGAGACCGACGAAGCAACAGACAGAAGAAGGAAGTAGTTGCAAACGAAGAAATCGAGCAGTGCACGGATCAAGCTAGGGGAAGAAGACGATGACCCAAGGCCGTTAGTTAAACGAAGAACTTTCTTTTTTTGGGAGGGAAAGCAGCAGAAGCAGAGATCGGAGCCGGATCTCTGAGCCACAGATCTGAGCCGAGCGAAGGAGCAATTCGGCGGAGAGAGACAAAGAGAGATGAGTTTTGGATGAGCGGAGCCAGGAATCCGGCGATCGAAGGAATCTCCGGTGACGGACGCGGTGGTTGTCGTCGCCGGACCCGGCGGAGGAGCTAGAGAGGGAGAAAAAGGAGCTTCGCTCGGCTGGTTTGGTGCAGTTGGGCTTTAGGTTAAAAAAAAAAGGAGCTTGACTCGGCTAAAAGACTCGACCCAGTGGCTGGGGACTCGGTTTTTGTCTCGGCGCGTGAAGCACACCGTTTTATTTATTTTTCTTTTTTATTTTTTCTTTTTCATATATAAACATAAGAAAATAATTACAAAATCCATGAATTGTATTCACATTGACGAAAGTAATCTACGACCTAATTGATATAAATATTCCAATACATAGTAATCTAGGGTATAGGGTTTACATTTTACCGCTACAAAAATTATTTATATGTATATAAATTTATTTTCGTCCCCACATTTCATTTCATTATACATCTAAAGGACATAAAATTGAAATTAGGAAGATATAAATAATGTATTATCATTGATGTTTTACTTGGAACACTATCACCAAGAAGATTTCACCAAGTTTGGAAGGTTCTTTAACTTCTTTTTATTTTAAGGTGAGGAAAAAATTGTTTAAATTTGATATTATTTTTCAAGCCCCATTTTTTATATACAAACAATAATGAAAATAGGGATGTAATTGTAAAACGGGTCAAATTTGATCAGTTTATATGTCGGAAGTATGAATTCCGTCAATTTATTATTGTAAAAAATTATTTTACTGCGTCTTTATTTATTACTTATTAGGGACCGAATACCCAAAAATCTTGGGATATCCAAATCCGTAATAAACTATTTCGGATACTAAAGTTTGAAATCCCGTAGGTTTTGGATATACGAACCGGAATTTAAAAAAATATATATAATGGCAATTTTGTAATTTTTAAAATGATTAGAGATAATTTTCTAATTATAATAAACGTAAAATGTAATCTAAATATTTTGAAACGGGAGTATTTTATAATTATATCGAGTATCTCTATATATATATCCTATTATAAAATCGATAAACACGAATTTGACCTATCGATAATTAATGTCTGTTGCACATTTGAACTCAAACCCGAATCATTCGGGTATTCCGAAATCGAATAAACTTTACTGTATATTTAGACATTATTATCCTCTCATCTAAGCTCCCATGTTTCAGGATCTTGTATAGCTGCGTCATGGATGTGTTCTCTTTCGCTCCCTTTACTCCCTTATCTTTGGTTATTCGGCTTGTTCTTCATTGGATTTACATCGCATTATTGCATTCATTAGACCCATTGAAGGTTTACGATGATCCGTGAAAAAGGGTACGACGAGAGAATGTTTCTTCTGATTAAACGATCGATAGAATGGATTTTTTCACGAATTCGGGCCAAAACAAATGACAATCTTTATTATTTATTGGCATACGGTTCATATAACATATTAGATTTCTTACACCATGGATCAAGCCCGAGGAGTTTCGCTGCCTTTCGGACCTTCCTTGCCGCCACAATCCGCAACCTTGGCTCCGGCCTCGACATCTCCGACCAAGAATCTCCTCCATTTCCGCCTCAGCCAGCCGCCTTTTATCATCTCCAACGGGTCATCGCCCACAGTTAACGCCTTCCCACGAGCGCATATTCGGCCTAAGAAGCAAGACAGGACAGCCAGAACGACGAGAACAGAGATGACCGCGAAGAACGGTCCAATGGCCCCCGAGGAATATCGGCTCGAAGCCGCTAGATTTGCCTTTGTGGGTTCCGTTTCACCGTCGAGTAGCTGCTGTTGCTGTTGCGCATTATACAACGAGGAACTACTACTAGTCGCCATATGTACAATATTTTGGTAGTAGCTAGGTTCTGTCAAGATTCTTCTATTTATAGATGGGTCTTCTATGCATATATACATATATATATATATATGTATATGTGTGTGTATACTGATAATGAGTTTAACGTCACCACCAAGAACAGATAGAGATGGTGAAACGTGCACTTTTTGGCCGACCAATGAGCTGATGAACGACATGGAAAGGTGAAAAGAAGGGTTATAAAGAGAGGAATCTTCATCAGCCTGCTCATACATTAATATAAAGGGACTTTCCGCTTCACAAAGTAACATATGATATAAGAATTTGAATGCATTGGTCACTTAGTGGTGAAGGAAATATATTGACTTACTTCATAATTGGTCTGGTCATAGATAAGGTTTTAGACTTTTAGATCGGTATCATCATATATGAAAAGGGGAATGTGTGACAAGAATATCGAAATCATTAGAGATTTATTGATAATTTACCCCTTCCACATGTAAAAACAAAATAAGATTCAAGGGATAAAAAATTTCGTGGGTGAATAAGGTTTTTATTAGTAAAAATATTTTTATCTTTTTCCATCCTTGAACGTGTAAAAGAAAAAAAAAATCAATGGATAAAAATGCAGTTTCACATTCAAACGGAAAGTTTAAAATTCTTATGAGTTATATATTAAGAAACTCTTAACTCTGATACGAGAATATATGGTAATGAAGAAAACGTTTCCATGCATGCATGATGATGAAAATGATAACATCATTGGTTCATGATGATGACAATGATGTCAATACCTGTTCCAAAAGCAACGTACCTCATAAGGTCCTAATTAAGAGCAAAGCATAACAAATGAAAAGCATACCCTAAGGAAAAACAAACAAGAAACAAAATACATGGATCCTAGATATGCCTAATGCATATGATGATGATGATGATGATCATCATCATCATCATGTTCAAGCGTTATTGTTGCAACGATTCACAGCCGTCCGATTGTTGCGACGGGCACAGCATCCGAACAAATAGACGGTGATGATGAGGACGATGAGACAGACGTTGAAAATCAACAGGTGCCTCCACTTCTGTCTTATGTTCTCCAACACTCCCGCCTTGCATGAGTTGCACCCGAAGCATAGTTCTGTCTGCGCGTTGCTCCACGCGTCGCAATCGCCCTCCGCCGCAGCGGTTGCGTTTTGGCCACCGGCGCTGCCTTTCCGCGGTTCCCACCACGTCGCGTTCTTGAACTCGAAGTCGCATTCCGAGGGAGGCTTGCAACAACCAGACTGCGACAAAAACATTTTAAAAAACAATGTTAACAAAATGCATACTTCAAATTCCAAAATGTAATCGTTATATATTAAAAGAGATTAAACCTAAAATAAACACGTGTATCAGATCAAATTCTTTCTAAATTTCGCTTGGTCATATACATGCGTTACAAAAACATATTAACTATATGTATTTGAATTTGAACTATATGTATTTACGTATAAGTGCGTTTGCGTTTGTGAGACGCGTTCAGTACAACGAGAGAAGAAAACGAAGGAAAACACACAACATACTTGTATTGGAGACAAGTTCTTATGGTAAAACGCGTCTGCGATCTGGCCAACGCGACCGCCGAGACCGCTGCAAACGCGGGCTTGGACCAAACAAGCCCTAACGCCATCCCATCTCTTCCCATCAACGAAATGGTTCCTAAGCCAATTTGAGAAATCCCCAGTACGATACTCCTTATACCCTCTTCCCGAAACAACATGGCCCGCTCCTTCGTTCGTAACGAGGAAGGCAAAAACCGAGAAACCGATCAAAGAAACGATCGATATGAACAGTACGGTCAGGTAGAGGACGAGGACGAAGTTGCTCTTGAAGCAAGAACCGATGATTCCCATAAGAGAGATTACGAAAAGGACTGTCCCCGTCACCAGAAGCGGCGTTTTGAGAGCGTTTTCGCAGTTAGTGTTTCCATGGAGGAAGAGATAGAGAGAGAAACCTATCGCCGATGCCCCCACGAGCATTACCAACGCATTGGCGAGACCTACCAGGAAGTTGCTCACACGAAACATTACGAAGAAAATGAACGATAACACGAATGTTGTTGTAATGTAATGATCTGATCTCTGTTTCGGAAACTTTTTTTTTTTGTTGTAATGGGACTTTTTTTTTTGTTGGAACGGTGGAGGGTTTTGAGATTCTTGTGTTATTAATGGGTTTTATGTAACTGTTGGGTAGCGAGTTTGCGAGCGAGCGAGCGAGTTGAAACGGTACGTTTCATTTGGGGTTTAATTACGGAAATGCCACTGCGGTTGAGGAACGTGCGTTTGGAAGATCTTTGTGGCCTTGAGTTTAGAGAGGACAGTTATTTGACCACGCCTCCACTTCTCTCACTTTTTTTTTTTATCCGTTTTATTTTTCTTTTTGTGGGCTCCGATTTAAATTTTCAAATATGATAAGTAAATTTAAAAACATTTTTTTTAAATTTATCAAGTTTGAAATTATGGTGAAAAAATAAAGTTCTTCATTTGAAAAAAAATACTCACTTTGTAAAAAACATAAATTTTAAATGGTACTTTTGTTTAAAATTGAATTTTTTGTTTCTTTTTCTTCTTAATATATAGCAATTAGAATTATATGGATAAATCATAACATATCTTTTATATTCGACCAAAAAATGAAGTTTATTGGCAAAGCAAATAATTGACGGTCCTAATGATTCGATTTTTAATTATATTCGACTGGAAAACAATGAAATAAATAAAACATGAAAGAAACCAAAGCATAGACATCGAAATCATTTATTTGTAGTTTTTGTAATGAAAAAAATCATATTTGTCATCAATGAAAACAAAAACTACACAACCCGTTGAACCCAATAACCTAACATAAACTAAAATCCAAGTGAAAAAAATAAATAAAATAATCAATTACAAAACACAAATAGATCATCTACTACAGAAGAACAAAACAAAGAATAGAGGAGAAAAAAATATTTTTTTGAAAAAAAAATCTGAAAATGGCAGACACGTAAAAGAATGTCCAGTGGAATTACAACATGTTCAGATAAGGAAGCGCCATCTAATGGCTTCTCTGAGTTCTCCCTTACAACAGTCACTCACTTTCTTCAATCGCCGGAGGCGAAGAGAGCCAAGCAAGATACTTTCTCCTCTTGCCATCTCCAAGCCCAAAGCTTCTTCCTCTTCCGTCAATGCCCATCACTTCCTCCGTCAGATTTCCACTCTCTCTGAATCCGGAAATCTCCATGAACCCTTTCTGCTTCTCGAAGAACAAGCTCGAAGCGAGTCGACCAATGCACTACTCGTCCGCGAAGCTGTGGGGATTCTCTTACAGGCTTCTGGGCAGAGAAAAGACATTGAAATGGGGAGGAAGATTCACCGACTGGTTTCCGGATCGACCCGGTTCGTGAACGACGAGGTTCTCAGCACCCGTGCAATCACCATGTACGCGATGTGTGGCTCACCTGATGATTCTCGCTCTGTTTTCGATGCATTGCAGAGAAAGAATCTCGTCCAGTGGAATGCTATCATCAGTGCATACTCAAGGAACGAGCTTTATGATGAGGTGTTGGAGATGTTTATCGAGATGATGTCAGAAACTGACCTTAAACCCGATGCTTTCACTTTTCCTTGTGTGATTAGGGCTTGTTCTGGGTTTTCTGACGTTGGGTTCGGACTTACTGTTCATGGGTTGGTGGCGAAGATCGGATTGATACAGGACGTTTTCGTGGCCAACGCATTGGTTTCTTTCTACGGGAGCCGCGGTTTTATTTCTGATGCCATGTCGCTGTTCGATACAATGCCTAAGAGAAACGTAGTTTCATGGAATTCTATGATCCGTGTCTTCTCTAACAGTGGTTGCTTGCAAGAAAGTTTCTTACTTGTCAGAGAAATGCTCGAAGGTGATGACGGGTTCATTCTTGATGTTGCCACGCTTGTTACGCTGTTGCCAGTTTGTGCAAGGAATGGTGAGATAGGACTAGGGAAGGCCATACATGGGTGGGCAGTGAAATTGGCCATGGACAATGAACTCGTTGTTAGTAATGTATTGATAGACATGTACTCCAAATGTGGTTGCATATACGATGCAGAAATCATATTTAAGTCGAACAAGAACATGAGCGTAGTTTCTTGGAACACAATGATAGGTGGTTTATCTACTGAAGGAGACATGCATCGGACTTTTGATCTTTTGCGGGAAATGCAGACTGGAAATGATGAATTCCAAGCGAACGAGGTAACCATTTTGAACGTACTGCCTGTCTGTTCCGATGAATCAGTCTTGTTGAGCTTGAAGGAACTACACTGTTACTCGATTAAACAGAGTTTAGTACATGATGAATTGGTAGCCAATGGCCTTGTTGCTGCATATGCGAAATGTGGCTCACCTAGTTATGCCCGGCATGTATTTAGCCATATAAGGAATAAGACAGTGAGCTCTTGGAATGCGTTGATCGGAGCCTATGCTCAGAGCGATGATCCATTGATGGCCATGGATGCCCTCCAGCAGATGAAGGAATTCAGGATATCACCCGATTCTTTTACTGTATGTAGTATTCTTTCAGCCTGTTCTCGACTAAAATCCCTGCGTCCAGGCAAAGAAATGCACAGCTTTATAATCCGAAACAGATTAGAAAGAGATTCATTTGTCTGTATATCGCTACTTGCTCTTTACGTTCAATGCGGGGAACAGTTTTCTGCAGAGGTATTATTTCATCGGATGGATAAAAGTTTAGTATCTTGGAACACTATGATATCTGGTTACCATCAAAATGGATTTCCTGAGAAAGCTCTACTTGTCTTTCGGCAAATGATTTTCAGTGGAATCCGACCTTGTGAGATTTCTATGATGAGTGTATTTGGTGCATGTTCACAGCTACCATCTCTGCGGCTGGGGAAAGAAGCGCATGCTTACGCTTTGAGGCACGTCCTGGCAGAAGATGCTTTTATTGGCTGTTCGATAATAGATATGTATGCCAAGAATGGTTCTATAGAGAGATCACTCAAGTTTTTTAATGGTTTCAAGAAGAAAAATGCAGCATCATGGAATGCCATGATTGTGGGATACGGACTACATGGGCAAGCAAATGATGCTATCAAACTCTTTGAAGAGATGCAAGAAGCTGGTCATGATCCTGATGAGTTCACCTTCTTAGGCGTTCTTATGGCTTGCAACCACTGCGGGCAGGTTCAGGAAGGGCTGAAATATCTTGAGCAGATGAAGCATGCCTTTGGGTTGAAGCCAAAGTTAAAGCATTATGCATGCATCATCGATATGTTAGGCCGAGCAGGACAACTAGACAAGGCTCTAACGGTTGCTGTAGACGAGATGTCCGAGAAACCTGACATTGGAATCTGGAGTTCATTGCTCAGCTCGTGCAGAATCCATCAGAATCTGGAAATGGGGGAGAAAATTGCAGCAAAGCTATTAGAACTAGAACCCGAAAAACCCGAGAGTTATGTTTTGGTTTCTAACTTGTATGCTGGATTAGGGAAATGGGATGATGTGAGAAAGGTGCGGTGGAAAATGAAGGAGATGAGTCTGCAGAAAGATGTTGGATGCTCCTGGATTGAAATAGGAGGGAAGGTTTTTAGCTTTGTTGTTGGCAACAGTTTGCTAGACTATTCGGCTGAATCAAAAACTATGTGGAGAATACTGGAGAAAAGAATAAGAAAGATTGGATACAATCCCGACACAAGCTCGGTACTACATGACCTAAGTGAAGTGGAGAAGATTGAACAACTAAAGGCACACAGTGAGAAGCTTGCAATAGCTTTTGGTCTGATCAAGACAACCAAAGGAACAACTCTCCGTGTTTACAAGAACCTGAGAATTTGTGTGGACTGTCACAATGCAGCGAAGTTAATCTCAAAGGTCACTGAGAGGGAAATAGTTGTGAGGGACAACAAAAGATTTCATCTCTTCAAGAATGGGTTTTGTTCTTGCGGTGACTATTGGTAAGGACAAGGGATAAGAGAGAGATGAAACAGCTCTTGTTCTTACAAACAAAACACCATGAGAATCTGTGGAGGAAGAAATCTGATTCAATTCTGGTGGCCATTCTCTATCTGATAGGTACATCTCTCTTCTCCTCCTAGATACCCAATACCGGTATAATTGCTGGGAGTAAGTTAAAGTGACAAGTTGTAGTTATAAAGTCTCCATATCAAAGGGCAATATGATCAAAGATTATGCCCAACCAAAAGACAGATTCTCATAATTGTTTCTTTCCCTTTAGTTTTGGTATCTTCTTCCTTCTTTTGTTAATCTCCATTACAGTTGCAAACTTCAAAGGGTCATTTTCGAAACCGTAGTCCTAGCTTTGTCGCTGTTTACATATGGATAAACCACCGTCATTGTATTACTTCTTCAGGGTTTGTGGCCTTCTGTATATCTCACATATTCCTGTTTCGAGATGAATTCTCTTCTTTTGTTAGTTTTGAAGTAGAAGTCTCTTTAGCTCTTTAGACATAAAGGGAAGACGTAAGCATCTTCTCTTGTAATGATTATGGTTCGTTCCCTTCTTTTGTTAATGATCATTCAATCTGTTTTGTTTTCCAGAAATGTTCAGATAACAGGAACATAACAAATTTTAACTCTTTTGGCTGCAGAATGGCCGGAATCTTTGCCTTTGCCCGAGAATTCATGTGGATTCAAGATTCAAATACCCGGTAAGGCGGTAACTCTGTATCCTAAATTATTGGCTTGACTGGATATATGGGTTGTTCATCAATGAAAATATCCATGACTAAGCAGGAATCACATGAAAAAAGATCTGAAATCTTCAACGGAAAGAAAACGTTAACCCCAAGTTCTGTTTGTTTCGGTTTCTTGGTTTTCTCTGTTTCCAAATCTCTCAGATAATATCGAAGTTCAAAGAGTATGCCTGTTAGGTCCAGGAACAGTGAAAACTGATGATACATTTAAACCCAAGTTTTAATGCTGTGGTCACAGAACTGCAAAATAAACGGAGAACTAAGTAAATGCAAAAACAAGTTACAAAGTCTAATTAGATTTCAGTTTCTGCTATAATCTGAAACACATAAATATATGGATTCATTTGTCATTGTTTCTCAGAAGCACCAAGAAAATCCAGCAATCAATCATGAAGGCATCCACCATCGCCATCATATTCTTCTTCTTCTCAGCCTTCCTAGCTGTCTCAATGGCTCAGCCTTCGAGCCCCGAGGAAACTTGCATAAGAAGAAACCTGGGGCGAGGGCTAGCCCCGGGACCCGCAGGCGACTTCAGGAGGTTCAAGAACGGGTTTCCAGTGGACGCGCTCTGCGGCGACGTGGCACGAGCCTTGTGGTACTTCGTGAGGTTGAATGGGAAGTTCCCTCCTCACTATGTGAAGGCAATGTGCAATGTCTTTGGAGGTGATGATGGGAAGGTGAAGGCTTATGTTGAGAAGAGATGGTTGGGGCATGTTGAGTTACTCCATGGGTTTTCTTGTGCTTCTTCTCTTTGAGGAAATCTTGTGGTTATGTGTTTGATCTTTTCTATTGAAGAAGAATGAAGATGAAAGGTGACTTTGTGTGTTAGCAGGCATGATAAAAAAAAAAAAGATGTTTTTCTATATTTTTACCGAAAGTAAAAAAATAAAAACATTATAAAAGATTGCCCTTTTTCTTTCTTTCTTTGTTTTTGTTTTGTCCTTTTTTTGTTCTATTTTCAACCTTTTATTTTCTAAAATGAAATTTTCTGCCTTTATCTTATTCTTACATAGTATCATACCACCTGAAATTAGTATCACTCCATTCCAATATAAGATTGAAGAGTCATTATAAAATAAATATAAAAGATGGATTTTTGTTTTCATTATAATTTGATTTTATAATATTTTATCTAGACCTTGATTTATTAGAAATAATTAGTACTTAAAATTCTCATAATTAAACTTACTTCAAATTTCATCTCAAGTGGAAAACATGTTATATTGTTAAGCTAAGTGGCTTATTGGTTATATATAATTGAAGCTTAGATTATATTATACCATCACATAAATATCAAAAGAAACACAAGATTCATGTCATCATTTAGGGATTTAAGCTTACTAATCACAAATTTCTAACCATAAACACCAATGAAATCACTTGTAAGTGTCCCAAAATAAATAACTCCATTATGTTCGTTGGCTTCACTCACCAACGTGTTCCCATAATATTCCCCCAGAGGAATTCGCCTGACTATTCCGCCGGAGGTGTTTAGTTTCACCGCCGACGGCTCGGTGGGGACCACCGCAAGCTTCATCACGACCGACGCGACCCAGAAATCTCCACCGTCCGTTCTCCTGATGTTGTCCGGACCCGGGATCCAAGGGACAAAAACCTCCCACGTGGCAGCTTTTGAGCCCTTGATCCAGTACCGCAGGATCCGGTTCCTCAAGACCTCGCCGACAAGTACAAACGAGCCGTCGGAGCTGACGGCGCAACCGGCTGAGCCGCTCAAGCCGGTCATCAAAACGGCGACGTTTTTCGTCTTCGGGTCATATCTAAAGAGCTTTCCCGTGGCATCTTTTACCGCAACCGCCAAAAGAAGCTCACTGCCACAAAATTCAGCAAACCGGTTATTAGAACCCGGTATGTAAAATTCAACCGTACCGGTTTAGCTACTAAAACGGAAAACCGGACGATGGTGTAACCAAATCACCTGGGGCCAAATCTTGAGCTGAATGATGTGAAGTAGACGTTACCGGTCACCGGATCAACGTCTAAGCCGTCCAAGAACCGGAATGGCGAGCCTTCAGCACTGTCAGCTAGTCGCTTGGCTCGTCCGCCGCGGGGAGAGGCGACGTACAAACCCAAATAGGCATCGGCTATGTACAAATAACCGGTTCTTGGATTGAAGGCTATACCAACCGGTCTTCCGCAGACTTTGCCCAAAAACGTACCGACAGCCTTATCGCACACCGATGTGTTCCTGCAAAATTTCGGAATAATCAAATCTTGGTTAAAAATTCTAGGTTTGTATATAATTAATTTAAAACTCAAGGATAAAATATAAATATTACTTTTCTACATTTTTTTTAATGAATGGATGTATGAACGTATAGAGGGGAAAGGAACATACGCAAGGGGGGAGGTAAAGGAGAAGTGGACGAAGCCGAGGAGAGGCCCGTTGTATTTGAGGATCTTACCGCCGGAGACGCCCGTGTACGGTCCTTCCCCTCTCGGATCGAACGCGAACGCTTCCGGTCCGGTGGTTCGAGGCGGCGGCAGCTCGATCTTCCGGAAGGTTCCGGCGGCAGAGACGGAGGACGACAACAGAACGACCAAATGGCAGATTCTTGTTATGATGATGAGCTCGCTTCTATGTTTCTGCGACATTTTCTTACAAAAAAAAAGATTGCTCCATGTAATGGATTTGGTCTTTAATTCTTTATATACACACATACGTAAATAAATAAATGCATGTGATGTGACTTCGGTTTTCTCAAAATCATATTTTATGGTTGGATTTATTTTTTGTTTTATACAAATTAGAAATTTGATTTTTATATGTGTGTTTGGTTTTTGGTTTTTTATTTTACTTTATTTAAACCTAATTGATATGTTCACGGACTCACAGGACTTTGTCTTTTCTGCTTAAAATTTACAATTTAAAACAGGCAATTTGTTTTTTTTTGTCGGGGAACAATTTTTGTATTGTTTTCTCACTTTTTTTTTTCATGTGAATGCGGCCGACTTCATTAGCTGATTTGTATTATCGGTATGGATAATACAAAAACCAAAACGAATCTAATAATGAATATCTTAAATTTAAATGATATTTGATCTATTATTTTAATTCATAAAATTTTAAAATTACTTACTCACAAAAAATAATTAAAATATTAAAATAAAATAAAAATAAATATAAAACTATATTCAAACAAAATGTAAACGTAGAATAAAGAGTGGAAAAAAAAGAAAATTAGCAAAATGGGATTAAAATAGAAAAAAAAAAAAGATTGAAAGGCCAGTCTCTCTTCCTCCTCGCAGCTTTTAGCCTTTTACCAGTCCACGACACACTCTTGTGAAAATTCAATCAAATCAAGCTACCCGACAGATTTTCACGAAAATGTTGTCGAAATTGTACAAAGCAGGCGAAAAGGCCTTGGCTTATCTCCTGCACAGCAAGCAGATTCACATGGCGTCGAAGAATTCGGACACTTCTCCCAAAGTTCAGGAGCTTTACGAACTATGCAACGCGACTCTAACAGGCACATCTCCTCCTGCTTCCATGGCTGTCCAGAAAATCTCCTCCTTACTGGGTATTTCTCGATTTTTCTTCTCATTACGTCTTCGTTTTGATTCCTTAGTCGTCTTCTCATGCTAAAGCTGCAATTTTGTAGGGTTTTGTTGGTTTAAGTTTGGGATTTTTTTTTTGTGAGTTATTAGCGTGAAATTGTGGTTTGGTCTTCGACGAGTCTCCGAATGCTTGAGAGTTGAGGCCTTTGCTTGAAAAATTACTCCTTGGATGCCAAAGGAAAGCTCATTGATTGTGGTTTTATGTCACTTGCTTGTGTCTGAATCAGGACAATTGCAGGTTTTCTTTTGAAACTGTCTCTTCTCTCGTAGAATTTCGTTGTATAGCTTTTGAATCTTCAAGGGCATTCCTATGGATTCGAGTTTCTGAGATGAGGTTTATGTCTGAATTGTAACTTGTGCACTTGATAGCTGTAACATTTAAGGGACAAATTGGATCAAGGGTATGACAATTTTCACTTTTATCCTCTCTTACTAGGCCATGGATTTAGTTTATGAAAAAGTAGAGATTATTCACCAGTTAATATATGGATATGTTCGTACCGATATTGCTGGAGTAACTGGGAACCGCACATCTGAGTGATCGAAATGTTCGAGGAAATTGTTTCTGGGGAATGCATATATCTTGATGAAGGAAACACAATTCCAGCCGTGGATCTTGTTTGAGAACTAGGATACAAGTAAAACGTTATATTGGATTTACCATTTGGAACTTGCATTTGTATGCCTTGTAAAGTGTTTTAATTTCTACTTCTAATTATGTTTTTCTTGTGATACATTACTTCCGATCAACGGAATGCAGACACGGTAAGTCCTGTCGATGTAGGGATCGAAGAGGAAGTACCGGACGATGATCGAGGTTATGGAGTTTCCGGGCTTAACCGTTTTAATAGAGTTGGGCGATGGGCACAGCCGATAACATTCGTAGACGTACATGAATGCGATAGTTTCACTGTAAGTTCGATATACGATTCTTCGGGCTCTCTGTTTCGTCCTTACAAGTTTTTCACCGTCTTATCTATGTTACTATAAAAATCCTTTTTTTTGTGTGTGAAGCAGATGTGTATTTTCTGCTTCCCGACTTCATCGGTGATTCCATTGCACGACCATCCGGAGATGACAGTGTTCAGCAAAGTGCTATATGGGTCCCTTCACGTCAAAGCATACGACTGGGTCGACCCTCCCTTTTTCAGACAAAACACTGCTCCCGGTCTCCCTCTAGGTTCAGTTTTCCTGATCTTTTCTTGTCTTTATCCTCGGGAATTCGCAAACCGACGTTTTTTTACTAGGGTTGTGCGTGGGTAAGGCCCCACGGTTACCTTCCCATGGGTATCCGAAACTCCGGAACCCAAGCCGCCGCAAGTACAAGGTCTGGTTTGTGGCCTATGGAAACCCGAGCTTCGGGTTTCGTCGGCTGGTTACTCGTACCGCGGGTAATCCAAGTCGAGGGGAAGAGAAAGGGTAGGGCTGAGCCGAGGGAGAGGGGGAGAGAGGCTTGGCAAGTGGTGATTTTGCCTCAGCCTTGCCACGCGGGCCGCTCGCCTCGCTGTGCAGCTCATCAAGTATGTGTCTCTCTTCTCTCCTCGCCTCCTCCGCCTTGACTCTCGCTCGCATCTGCCCCCCCTTTTCTTTCTCAGCAAGATATTCTCGCTACTCGCTGTTCCTCGTCCCGTCAAGCCATCGTGACATCGTCGGCCAGGTACCGAAACCCTTGCCACACTCCATCGGTAACCAAAGCTCGGGTACCTGATGCTGAGGTCGGGTAGTTCGACTGTGAAACCCGAGTGGGCGAGACCAAGGTCGGGTATGTCAAAAAACAGGGATACTCGACCCGCATCCATCCCCAGTTTTGCCAATGAAATGTGCAACAATGAGACTCCTAAATGGCTATATCTCTTGCCTGATATTCGTTTGAATTCGGATAGATATCAAATCATACGTTAGGTTTCCCGAGAGGGCAGTGCATGGAATAGGCGCAGAACAAGCTTGGGAAATGGTCGATGAGCGTCTTAGACATGAAGGGTCACATTGTTTTCCTAACATCATTTTACTCTAGTTTTGTCGAAACCGTGGAACTATTCGTTTTTACTGAGTTTTTGTGTTTTGGCAGCAAGATTGGCAAGGTTATCGACGGATAGAGTCCTAACCCCGCAGTCGGGGACAGCGGTTTTGTATCCGAAGAGTGGCGGAAACCTACACTGTTTCACAGCACTGTCTCCATGCGCAGTGCTCGATGTTCTCACCCCGCCTTACCAAGAAAACGCAGGCAGAATCTGCAGCTATTACGTGGACTACCCGTTTTCCGCCTTCTGTAAGCGAAACTATCTTCTTATCGAGTCCTTAGAAAAACGAGATTGATAAACAACTCGCCTTAGTTTCTCATCGTGTGTTTAAATCCGAGGACAGCATCCGATGAAGGGCCGGAGGTCGTGGACGACGGGAAGGAGGACGACTATGCGTGGCTCGTGCAGGTCGAGACGCCTGACGATCTCTACATGCGTCCCGGAACATATGTTGGTCCAAAGATCAAGGTTTAGAATCAGAACCGTCGATCTTTCGGGTACGTTATCGCGTCAAGTTAGGATCATACTGTATCAAAGATGCATCATTTTCTTGTAGAATCTGTCGGAAAAGACAACTTTCACAGTATATAAATCCGAGATGCCCAAAAAAAATACTTTCTTTCGGTTTCGTTGGCGATCGATAGAGCCGAAATTTTTTTACCAACCCTTTTTGTCCAGCAGTAACTTAACGAAATTGACTGCAAATGATCTTGGACTTCTCAAGCGCGGAAGGACTCTCGAATTCTTTCACTCTATTTGTATTCAAATCGAATCCGACATATTGAATCTATATGGAATCGAATCCGATATAAACATACAAAAGTGTATCGTTTTTAAAATTGAAAACTTAGTCTAAATAAAAAAAGTAAGAATATATTTATTATAACATTTTATTGGAGAAACCTGGAAATCACTTTTTCTTTTTCTCTTTGGTTATTGTGTAAAGAAGTGAAGGTGCTGTTTTGGGAGGAGAGAGAGACATTTTTTCTGTGTATCTCAGAGACTTTACTTTGTACACTGCGAATGGAGCCGTTTTTGGTATGCCGAGAACAACGGAATTACAAAGCTTATGTATCAATGCTTTAAGAAATATATATAAAAAAAACTATGGAAGGGAAAATTCACCCTTGGGTTTGAATGTTTTTTTTAGAGTAAAGAATCGGAATCATACCAGAAAATATGGAACTCATCGGAGAGAACTGAGGTAATCTTTAAGCAAAGTGATGATGGCAGTTGCTGAAGAATCTCCGGTGAGTTGCTGAAGCAAGATTCCGTCCATTCGGGCTTGAACTCCTTCGCCGACCGTCAACTCTTCCGCCAGTTCCTTCAACGTTCTCTCTACTCCGATCACTGAGCTCCCTATTCCGCTCAATATCTCCGGTAACGATGGGGAAGGTCTCGAGAGCTCGACAACCGTCACCTGCATTTAATTACCAAACATTTACCTTTGTCAAGATATGGACATTCTATCACGAAGGGGTTGGTTTTCGGTTGGGATTTTTGTTCGGCTGTTCTTGAAACCCCTTTAGTTTCTATTAAATGAGAATACTAGAGCTGGTTTTCGGTTTATAGAGAGATACTCTTCTATCTATGAATAGGGTATGGAAAGGGCGAGAGATTAGATGCAAACCTTTCGGCCAAGAGGTATATTAGCCTTCTGTTTAGCGATAGCTACAGCTCGGGAAAGTCCACCGAGAGCATCAACTAGACCATGGGAATGTGCGTCCTTACCAGTCCAGACTCTTCCTTGGGCAACTTCTTCCATCTTTTCGCTCTAGGACCCAAGAAAAGAATGCAATATAGTTACCTAAACGGATTAAAAGGGACAAGACTACGAGAGAGCGAATTGGATAAAGTACAGGCATCGAGCGCGAAGAGGCTGCTTTGTCTCGGAAAAGCTGGTAAGCGTGTTGTGCTGACTTGGCAAACAGTTCAGCTTCCTCTGGCCTAAAAGATATATATATATATATATGTTCCGTGTCAATAGAAGATCAGTGGAACAAACAAAATTGCCAAAACAGCAAAAATCGAAGGAGACTCTAATGATGTATCTTGAAGACTCTCACTTGAAAGGTCTTTGATCAGCTGCCAGAAGCTCGGCGTATTTTCCTCTAGATATTGTTTCCTTGTTGAGGCCAATTTTTTCGTATAGTTTGGCCAACGTAAATCTTGCTGCAAAAATAGCGACAACACATAAATGGAAATAATCGATCACGAGTTTATTTGTTTCTGGATCTCCCTGTTTCATCTCTCCACCACTAGAATGTGTTATTAGATGATAATTTCTCTTTAGCAAGAGCAGAGAGTAGAAGTTTGTAAGATCACCTGTGACAACACCGATTGAGCCAGTTAATGTTAAATTTTCAGCCACGATGGCGTTTGCAGCCATCGCCATATAATAACCTCCGCTTGCGGCCACGTCTGACATTGATGCGATGACAGGCTTTTTCTCTGCCAAAAGTCTAATCTCCCTCCACATTCTGTGTATAACATATAAAAGCTCTTGTTTTATATTCCAATTTCTGCCTTAGGCCTCTAGATTAGCTTAAATCGGCATTTACGGTTGGTGTATCTTGATATCGTAAGCTTTCCAGATATTCAATAGTATACTTAATTCTTTCTCTGGATTTAATTAGGATAGCTTCAGATCTGAAACTTGCATACAAGAGAATCATAAAATAGCGGGTCAATCACTCTGAGTCCAGTGTCCACCCATTGGGGAAATGAGAATCACGTAAACTACTTAACCATAGAACATTGAAAGTCGGTTACACTTACAAGTCAGAAGCAAGAGCATCACCTCCCGGACTGTCAATCCGAATGATGGCAGCCTTATATCTTTTGGACTCTTCAAAAAAAAAAAGGGGGGGGGGGGGGGGGCG